ACATTAGGTGAGAGATAGTTTAGGTCAAGTTGATGAGTAGCCGTCGTACTGTAAGGACTAAAAACGATTAACTCAGTCTTGGAGTCATTAAGATGGAGGAAGTTGTCAGCTAGCCATTGCTTGACCTCAAGGATGCAATCAGACAGAGCTTTCGTTGATTGAGTTGGCTTAAATGAAAAGTAGATTTGACAGTCGTCAGCGTAAAGATGGTATGAGACAGCGTGCTTTCTGAAAATGGCTCCTAAGGGCAGTATATAGAGGTTGAACAGTAACGGGCCGAGTATTGAACCTTGTGGTACACCCCAACGTAGAGGCTGTGACTCGAATGAACAGCCATCCAACATGACCCTAGCAGACCTGTTACAAAAGTATGACCTAAACCAATCTAGGGCTGAGCCAATGCCAGCCCAAGTGTGAAGTCTTGTGATCAAAATGTCATGATCGATCGTGTTGAATGCTGCAGATAGATCCGTTAGTGTTGTGGGTGTATAAAGGCTATGCACGATTGATCAATAAATAAATGATGATCAATAAATAAAATATATGCAACATGTAGTAAAAAAACATGTGATTTACAAAATAAAATACATTCTATATAAAACTACAGCATAGTGTTAATGTTTAATTCATTCATTGTTGAAACAATGCATACTTTTTGATGCAATAATGCTTTTTGCACTCTTGCTGTGTCATTATTACAGGCGGTCAAGACCAGGTTTGCACATGTTCTTGGAAGTGAAGATGCTCTCCTGGCTGCTGTGACACTAACAAACTTCAAGCTTCGTTGGTTACATGACCAGGCATGGAAGGACCTCGCAAAGGCACGTCTGCTGGCAGAGTGTCGAAAACTTCTCCCCAAACACGATCAGCTACAACCAGGTACCCATGGATTTAATTTTTTTTTGGGGGGGGGGGGGGACATGTCCCCCCCACTTTTCCCCAAAGTCAAGTTTTGACCCCTGCACTTTTTACCATCCAAAAACAATATTACGGTATATTAAATTGACACTGGTTGAGCTCTAGGACCAAGCGGAAAACAACCGTTTGTGTTGAAGCCTGTTTCCCAATAGAGCATACTGTAAAGATACCCCCCCCCCCCCCCACACACACACACACACACACCCCTCCCTCCCTCCCCGTGTCCCCCCCACTTCTAAAGCGAAAATGACATCCATGCAGGTACCTGCGCCACTGGCACAGCACAGCACCCAGGTTCTAGCAAAGAGGATGAGTTGTTCTCCTTTGCAGAGAGTGATGACACCTATGCCGCTGCTGAAGCTGAGGTAGCCGAGTACCTCACGTCAAGAGCTACAGGGTTAGACTCTGAAGCATTTCCCAATGATAAAGAAACTATCTCTTAAACTTAACGCAGCCACCCCCTCGAGTGCCCCGGTTGAAAGGCTTTTCAGCCTGGGAAACCTGATTCTCACTCCAAAGAGGAACAAGTTCTGATCGCAAGTTTGAGAAGCTTCTCCTCGTGAAGTACAATTGTTGGTTTGAGGGAACAAGTGCGAACTAGCACTGATATGATGACGTGTTTCCTCTAATGGTGCACTACAAGGTGAAGCAGGTTAATATTTCCAAGAGAAACATAGACCACTGAAGCACATAATCCACCATTATTTATCTCAGCAGTTGTTTAATTTATTTACATGGCCTGACTGCAGGAAATATTATTTTGTTTAAACATGTACTGTTTATGGAGCTAAAAATGTTTTATTATTATTTAGTTTCTCTTACTGAGGCTAAAAATACTTAAAATTTGCCCATCATTACTGAAGATGAGGTCTCCAGCTGGTGCAGTCCAGCTGTTTTCCGTTAAGTTTACAAAGAATGTATAAACCTCAATGTGTTTATGTTGAATAACTTTAGCACGGTTTTTGATACGGTTGCTAAATGGTCTGAGGAACAATTTAATGTTGGCACTGCTAAAAGTATACTTTCTACCCATTTCAATGGCAAAAATGAATATATCTATCAAGGTTTCAACATGCTGTATGTCGTGTTTTGTGTGATCTACTGTTTTTTTGCAGTGATAGCCTACTAGGTACAATGATTAGATTTATAGCACTGTGCTAGCCTAGTGAACTAGACCAAATTCTTGCTTTGCAAAGTTTGGTCTATGCATGCTCCATTGGAACCTCCACAGCTCCTACCAGGACTCTGGCTAGCCAATCACAACTCTCTAGAGGGGTTTCAAACACATAAAGAGCTGTGATTGGTCCATAATGGTGGGCCAATCATAGTGCTCTATCTGCTTAGTGAACAAATCACAGAGTTTTATCTGCTTTGTGGGCCAATCAGGGCACTCTATATGCCTGGTGCGTGGGATGATGCAACAGAGTGAAATAAAAGTATGTCACATTCATTGTCCAGTGAATGCGGAGATCATTTGAAAGGCAACGGTAGAACTCGCCCCACAACCGAGAGCCGTCAATGGAGCGTGGCCAGACTAAATAATACATGTATTTAGTCTGGCTTGCCAGGCTAGCACTGTGCGGCATCGACCACAAAATTATGTGTTTGCATTTGTAGAGGGTTAGAACAATAGAAATAGGTTAAAACAGGCAGAAAAAAAGTGACACATAAAGCAGACATTGCCCATTGTAATTTAGTTTCATTCATTTCATTATTCACTTGCACTCACAGTACTACACTGCCATTTTATGTTCAGACCACTAGGTGGCGCAGTGAACTTGTGGCAGGATTGGGCTGCCATGTAAGCAAGCCAGAAGAACAGCAACCTTGCTGGCTATCCAGTTAAGGAAGTAACACATTTTAATAAGAAAAATCAGAATAAAAACAGTTACTTTCCCTAGTAACTATTTACTTCTAAACTAACGAGTAACTTAAAGTAACCGAGTTACTCTTGAAAGAAGTAACTAGTAATGTAACTGCTGTACTAATTTAAAGTAACTTTCCCAACACTGGTCCCCGCTATAAACAGTGTTGGTAGTGCAACTGAGGAGCTGGATGGTGGACCAGAATCTCCTCAAAGCCATGTGGAAGTCTTGCTCCGTGGTCTCACCAAACTCCTCCCATGCCCAGGTTTTTGCCTCTGCGACCACCTGAGCCACATTCCACTTGTACGACCAGCATCCATCAGCTGCCTCTGGAGTCCCACAGGCCAAATAAGACCTAATAGGACTCTTCAGCTTGACAGCATCCCTAACCGCCGGTGTCCACCAGCAGGTTCAGGGGTTGCCACCATGATAAGCACCGACGACCCTGCAGCCACAGCTCTGGTCATTTGCCTCAACAATAAAAGTGCAGAACAAGGCCTACTCATACTCAATGTCCCCCGCCTCCCCAGGAACATTTTTAAAGTTCTGTCAGAGGTGGGAATTGAAGCTCCTTCTGACAGGAGACTCTGCCAGACATTCAAAGCAGACCCTTGTTTGGGCCTGCCAGGTCTGACTGGCCTCCTGCCCAAGCATCGGCACCAACTCATCACCAGGTAGTGGTCAGTTGGCAGCTCCACCCCTCCCTTCACCCTAGTGTCCGAGACATGCGGCCACAAAAACAACAACAAAGTTGATCATCGAACTAAGGCCTACGATATCCTGGTGCTATGAGCACCTTTCTACCTGAACATGGTGTTCATCATGGACAATCCATTATGACAACTGAAGTCTGATAACAAAACATCACTCACATGAGCATTGAAGTCCCCCAGCAGAATGAGGGAGTCACTGGAAGAAGAGCTCTCAGCTCCCTCTCCAAGGACTCCAAAAAGGCGGGTAGTCTGAGCTGCAGTTTAGTGCATAAGCACAAAAACAGTCAGGGCCCATACACCCACACATATTGTTTACCAGGGTAAATCCTAATGTGCAGACACCTAGATGGGGGGCAAGAGAATAAATGGCATTAGCATTCATGGATTCACCCATGATGGCTTGCAACGGGGAATGCTGTTATTATTTTAGCATCCAGCAGAGTGTGTCTTAGCTAGTAGAAGCTAACCATTAGCATTAACATCTCCACCACAACCCTGCAGAACTCCTTCAGGGCTGTGTTATTTGTGGAAATGAAACATTAACAGTACAGAGCAAACAAAGTAATTGGTAGAGTCACGTTGCTGTTAGCCAGTCAGAGGCAAGATGTCCAAATATCAGGAAATAAGACCCCAAATTCTGCTGTCTTCTGCTCTCCACTAGCCTGGCCTACCAGACTCCTCTTCTGTTTAATTCTGCACAGAGAAAGGGTCTGGGAACTCTTCTATTCAAGTACCCCACCGCCAGAAAATTCTATCCAATCCAATCAGCGCTGAGTAGCATACGTCACACACCACAACACCGAGTTTATCACAAACATGGTGACTGAAGCGGAGTTCGCTTCAGATCTTTCCTCTGTTCTAAATGATTTGGGCATGTCTTTAAAACCACAACAAGTAGAACCACTAAAAGCCTTCCTTCTAAAGAAAGATTGTACTTTCGCCAGATGCCATTTTTGTCGCGGATGTCACACACAGCTCAGTTTCTCATAAACGAAGACAGCGGCAGAGTTTGCTGCGGCCCTTTCCTCTGTTCTAAATGACTTGAATGTCTTTAAAACCACAACAAGTAGAAGTGCTAAAAGCCTTTCTTCTAAAAAAAAAAAGGTGTTTGTGCCATTGCCAGACGCCATTTTTGACTACAGCTAAAAAAAAACTACAGCGTTGCGTGGTGCAGTCAGCATTTCCGTCTTTTTTCTGATTGGTTATTTTTGAGCTGGCTAGTCCCGCCCCTCATGCGCCTCTCTGCCTGTGAGTAACCAGACTAGTTCTCTGTGCAGGATTAGAGGACCAGTCTGGCAGGCCAGGCTAGCTCTCCACTTCCCTGGGTCAATTCTAGTTCCTGAAACAGAAGTGCCAGAGCTTCTTTCCCCACATTGATTAACTCACAAGACATTAATTTATACTAGAAACCACTGAAAATGTACTGAAAAAGTGAGTGAGCTTGATCAGGTTAAAACTAAAAAATGTTCACATTGTAACTTAACTTTATAAAACAACAAAAGCATCAGATTTCTCTGGTTTATTGACACGAATCATTAACTATCTCATTTCAGATACAACACATGTCCAGCAAAGCGCAAAAAGAGTGAAAAGCTTCAGTCTTCAGTAAGAATACACATTTAAACAACATTATCCTTCACTAGCAGTGGGTAGGGGGACATGACATGAGACGGACATTTCCTCTACAAAAATGGATCCCTCAGGCTTAGGCGCATAAAGAGATTATTTAATCTACTCCAGAATACATTACTTCTTACATTCTGATGTTAGTATATCGATATATGTTTTTTTTTTCATTCAGAAATGTGAACTGGATAGATTCCTCCTACTCGGTCAAAAAAAAAAAAGATACAGTGAATTAAAGCCAGTGCCAACAGTCATGGTGATACAAGAACATTTAAAAACGAATATTCTGGCAAAAGAAATAAACAAAGTAAACAAAACAGACAAAAATAAAAGAAGCAGGAAATACTTAAACACAATCACAAACCCTCAAATCCCTATTGACCCTACCTCTTGACCTCTCAGTCTTTTTATTGGATCACGCATGAAAAGACATTCAAAATAGAAAACAATCATGCAAATAAAGCCTTTTGTAACACAGTCACCAATACAGAAAAAAACAGCGCTGTCAACAGTCAGTGCCTTTAGGTATTTTAGATGTTATTACTGTTGTTTCTCTACAGGCTTTAGGTTTGCTACTGTACTCTGATTAAAAACAATATGACACACCGCCTTCATTAGGCTACCGAGTCTCCTGGCTAGACTGACCTCCCACCTTATCCAAAGGGACCTGGGGCTTCAACAGTTTATTAGGAACAGTCTTTGTTTTTGGATGCCCATTGACCACAGAAATGTTTGTTTGGAAGGATTTCAGCAGGAAACTGGAGCCACATGAATGTGCTTAGGTTGATACTCCGTTATGTATAAAAAAAAGGCGTGGTTTTGTCTTTTTCTTCTTTTTTGGCATCTGTTTTTATTCTTCTATGTCTGATAGATATTCTACTTTTACAATCATTTTCTATACAGTAAACAAATAAAGAGTTTCATTCCAAAATAATAACAATCATAATGAAAATCATAACAATATCCCTGTAATGTAATAAAGAGAGCTTCAAAGTAAAAGTCTTCTAAAAGCACCTTGTAAAGTCAGAAGTCTAGAGACCTTTATTTACAAAATTAGTTTGTTTTTCCTTCAATAATCTTTGAATCGTTGATATGAACGAATTGCTTTTCTTAATGAAAAGTTTTACATTTTGGAATGAAACCCTTTAACTGTAGTTTTTTTTTATTCATATACACATTCAGTTGGCTTCTCATTCACTGATGATGCAGTCTCTCAGATATTATTTCTCTTTTAAAGTACTTTGCTATAAAGTCTTTCTTTTTTCAGATATAATTAGAATATAGTTACTTCTCTATGCAGATGATATCCATGTAGCCATTGAATCTATGTCCATTACAGTTCCTCTGAGCGGATCACGTGGAACAGTGTCACATTATACAGGACCTGATGGCCATTGTTCCAAGCATAAAGGGCACGGTCACGGGGGTTGTAGTCTAGCATGGAGATATGTGAGTACTTATTCTGGAAGGCGATGTCTATGTACTCATAGGTAGAGGAGTTGGTTGAGTAGGCGTAGTAAACCTTGGTGCCTCCTGAGTAGCCATTGGTGACGTAGAGTGTGCCACAGATCATAAAAGACTCGCCAGCACTCCTTTTGGGGTGATTGGTGGTCCAGCTCTTGATGACCTGCAGAGTGTTGGGGTTCAGCTTACTAATAACAATGTTACCGGCGTTCTGGTTTGTAGCGTAAACCGCCCACAGGCCTCCTTCGTCTACCATTAGGTCAATGTCAGAGTGGCCTCCCCAAGCGTAGTGATATGCATTGCTGAACCCGGCGTTGTCGAGCTGTCGGGATTTACTGATCGACGAGGTTCGGAAGTCGAATTTGATGATGACGTGGCTCTGGAATTTGTTGAAGTAGATAGAACCGTTGTAGACTACCTGACCGGTTCCCGACCATGGGTGGGGCAGCCGGTGGGATGTGAAGTTATCCGATGTCATGAAGTCATGCATAGACTTGTACTCCCGCACAAAGCGGTTGTTATGGTAACCATCCATGTACCAGACCTAAATGAAATGAAGCAAAACATGGATTAGATGGAAGCAGAAAATGACTTTGAAGCTCAATACCTCATCATTTGTCCGTGAGCCCTAACTTGTATGCAGAATACACATCAGAAATCCAATCACACCATCAAAGCATTCCAATTAGGTTAGCTGAGACTTTTTCAGCATACGCTAAGATCCATCAGCATCTGAATGCAAACAGCGTAGATGACAGCTGCAGGGTGTTAGGAGTCAGGGAGACTGATCTCAGCTGGTTTCATCCTGCTTCTTTATGACACCTTTAGTCTCCTGAACCTTAAGACCTTTTCAGTCTCAGTGTGATGAGTTTAGCTGAAGCCCCTTCACTGACTGATTAAAAAAAATACCAACATGCAGGAAGTAGTCTCCTTGGGACAGAAACAAGGTAAGAAACCCAGGAGATAAAAGGAAGTGTCTGCTTCTGTCGGTTACACTCAGTTCTACTTTTCTGCCCTTTGACATCATAATACATCTTTTATGTGTTCCGTTCAAATGTATTAGCTTCAGCCAAAAGAGGGGACTGTCTGCTTGTTAAAGACAATCTCAGTTATTCTGAGCAAGAAAGATGATTCAACGTTTTTGTTTTTTTTTATAATAAAAACAGTGCATGTGTTGTTAATACACTTCTCAATGGAAAAGCGGATATGTTTGTCTCCCTGCTGCTAATCTCAAAGTCGCTGTGAGACTGAACGTTATTTATCTCATTCATTTGTCTCATCCAGTGAACATAGAAGGCTGATTAAATTTCTTTATTTTTCTTTTCCATAAATTATGATGCATCTTCTAGTAAAAGCTACATATGTTTCCAATTCTTTTTTTCTTTTAGTTTTTTATTACAGCAATGAAAAATAAAGAAATTACTAAACTAAATTAAGCTAAACTGACCCAAGTCCAGAGAGTTGAAAGGAATAGCCAGGAGTAACCAATACATATATATTTGCTGAAGAACAAAGGGAAGAAGCTTGGACTTGAGCCTCCTTCTCCAAGTTTTTGGAACAGCAGCTTATTGATTATGAAATAAAAAACACAAATTCCAAATATGTAATTGCTGAAAGCCCATAATAATAAGTTCCAGTAAAGGTTTGAGGAATAGAAAGTGTTTTTAGAAACAATGCAACAATGCAACTGGATGACAAGTAAGGACTACAACTCTGGCAGCAATGACAAAAAATGGAAAAAGGATAAAGACACATCAGGTCCTAGTCTACCATTTGTTTAGCTGGTAAAATACCAAAGGACGGGAAGTAGAACGAGTTTAACACATAGAGTTTCACACAGTGGTGAACCATGACTCAGATATCAACTCTGACACTCACATGTCCTTAACCTTAACCCTAACCCTAACCAAAAAAAAAAAACACTGTAAAATCTGTCATAACACAAAATCCAATAGAAAATGTGGTTTTTAACCAGAACTGCTTCAAAACAAAAATACAAAGTTTAGAAACATTTGACTCAAATTTAGTGAAGATTATAAAACCAAACCTTGTCAGAATCTACCGATCTGTTCTGTGAGGTACCCTAAGGCTCTGTTTTGGGGTCCTTTTTTGTTTCTACTGTACATACAGCTAATTGGACAAATACTTGGTTATTTTTATAATGTTTGCTATCAACTATATGCAGATGACATTCAGCTGTGCTGCTCCTTAAGGATTCTGAGTTTCTGTAAACTGTCTAAAGTACTAGAATGTTTTTCAGCAATCACCAGCTGGCTAGAAGATAACTTCCTTCAGTTAAACTCTGAAAAAACTGAGTGTTTGATCATTCCCCTGAGAGCTTGGTTCCTCTGATTAAGTCAACAACTTGGTCATTGTTTGATGAAAAAAAAATCTTTAAAAAGCCTTTTAATTTTTTTTAGAGTTTAAAGAAAAAGTACTGCACACTATTGGTAATAAAAACCATTCAGAAATACAACAAGCATTTTACAAGTTGCCCACTCCATCTGGAATGAAATCAAATAAAACATCTGTGAGACACTACTGGGACTATAAAAAGCAGGTGTGCAACTGACCAAACTTTACATCTCATGAGTCATTTTGGCCATTTTCATTTGATGGAAACCTTTTTAATATTAATGCAAAACTCAAAACTTTTTGTGCTGACATGTGGGTCTCTACTTCCTCTATAAAAAACCCAAACATGCATTCTGTTTGGTTTAAGGCGATAGGAAAAAAAATTAGCTGTTTAAAGAAGTCTCCACTTGTGATATCGCAAACAGGGATGTTAAACCTCTCATGTGCAAAAGAGCAGCTGCTGTTGGAGGAGCAGCAGCTCTACTTTGAGCCCCTCCCACATTTCAGAGCTTTTTAGCTTAAAGCAGCCAAACAGGGGGTGGATTGGTGAGACCAGCTCCAGTGACAAAGCCCTGAAATGACTCATTCTGTAAGGTACTGAAACTTTCAAGAACAAAACTGCTGAAATCCCTTTATCTCAGAGGGCTTTTGTGCAAAGAACTTCATGAGCATGTTTTGAATCAACCATAGGACTATTATAAGAAAAAGAAAAGTCTTATGTCTCCTTTAAGGAGTGCTGACATGTTAATGATTTAGAGCACATAATACAAAGTGAGAACTATTGTAAAACCACCATGGGGAGAAGAGTATGAGGCAGAACTGGAGGTTTGGGAGAGATAACTCATTGTCATCCATGTCAAAAAACATTGATTTTTCGTGCTAAACATACTTGGCTTTCTTCTGGTTCTCGTCCAAGCCTCCTGCCTGAAATGTCCATTGTATTGGTCTAAATGTTCTACAATTGATAAGCCTTTGGCTCCCAAACTAAACATGCCTTCAGCACAAGAAGTTCAGCATCTTCAAGTAACAAGAACAACAGTCCAGTTGTCATTTTAAACTCTTGGAATTGTTTTATCCTCGATGAATGTCAATCTACACAGAGTGGTTACATTTAACCAGATTAGCAAAGCCTAACCTACATATCTCCAGTTTCAACTTCAACATCAAAGTTAAACAGCAAGTACCGAAGTCTATAATGTCAGAACCCCCCCCCCCAACCCCCCCCCCCCCCCACCCCCACCCCCCACCCTTCATGTCTGAGTGCCAAAGACAAGCCTTAAAGATTTATTCTCACAAGTGGAGCAGAATAGCTTCAGCTATAACGCCACGCCTGATACCAAAACTAATGTCAGATTTCTTTCAGCAATAAGCCAGCATGTTCAGTAGTTACGTGTGTCTAAAGGGTGCTTAGGAGTATTTGCACATACCCGAGTATCCCCTTCTGGGGCCAGCGGATCGGTCATCCAGGAGCCAAACCTGGATCCAGATGTCTTGATGGTGATGGGATCACTGATGCCCGTCAGTTTTCCACATGCTGAAAAGGACAAAAATAATGGGAACATCTGCAGAACCACCCCTCAGGACATTTAGCTCAGACTCTAAAGGGTAGGAATCACTGTTTTTAAATGGTTTTGCTTGAAGGGTGAGATTGTTTGATTCCTTCTCTCTCTGTCCCAGTTTTTTTTTTTTTTTTTTTTTTTTAACAAGAGGTGCTTATTATTCCATTCACACATGCTCACTTTACCCTCAGAGTTTGGATGTGTGAAGGAAAGGGAAAAATAGAAAAAGGGTGAGGCTTTTGTGATATGTCCCCTCCTTGTGAGCAGTCATGTGTTAATTAATGTTGATTTAGGTGTTAATGAGAATTTGACTAAGCGTGCACTGGTCTGTGTCCCTCATGGCTGAGAGGCATTCGAAATACTTCTTGATGCACGACTGACCAGTTATTTACTTTGTGTATGCCCATTAATTTTTTCTTTTATTGTTCTTTTTTCTGATAGAAGACAGTTGAAATGAAAGCAAATAGATTATCAAATCCCTTGGATGGAGCAACTCTCTCTAACAAGCTAATTTAAAGAGCAGGACTGTGATGACTGCTCATTTAAGGGTTTCATTAGCCTCTTTCTCTCTGAAGCTGTTCATCCATTAGCCCATTATCTCCTCATGTGCTTCATTGTTGTGAAATGTCATGCTGCTTTGTGCTCACACAATCCAGGATTAATTTCCTCCTTCCTGTAACCTGCCTCGTCATCTCGTCTCTGTCTCTTACATAATGAAATTTGTGGCTTTGTGTCGGAGCGTTGGTGTGTCTTTATGTGCAGCATATGCCGTGCCTGCGAGAATGTGTGGGCATTGCACCTCAGCTGCACGCACTCACATGAGCAGCGTCTACTATACGGGGGGAAGGGGGGGGGGGGGGGGGTTGTTACGTAACCCACAGTGGGATTAGAGGCCTGCATTAGTACCTTGCCTATTGATTGATTTATTTATTTTCTATAATCACGCGTCTCTCTTCGGATGACCACTACTGCTGCAGCACGGTGGTGGATCTGCGTTCTGGAGTTACATACAGGGTCTAATCCCCTTTTGGCCTGAATTTGTTTGGCCTGAATCAGAGGGCAGGGCAAGATGAAAGCCCTCTAAATGGGCCCTGGAGCTGATGTATCGAAAGCCCTCAGAATGTTGGGATTTAGGTCTAGACTCGACGCTTGCCTGCAGCAGCCCCTAAATGAAAAGCTCAAATATCGGACATTTGAAAAACTAAGATGGAGAAAATGTTACTGGGGATTTAAAGCTGGGGTTCATAGTTCAAAAATGATAACGTAACTTTAAAAAAGCTTGAATCTGACTATCTGACCCTGTTCTGTAGAATAACATAAGCAATCGTTCATAATCTACATTTTCCCCAAGTCCATCCTTTACGTGAGCCTAAGTGTGACCCTTTTTGATTAATAATTCTCAGCAAAGTTAATTCTAAATATTCCTATGAACTTTAAATTTGACATTTTTACATACATAAACTGTTGTCGACGCTCCAGTCATGCGCCATTTTGAAATGCCATAGCTGTTTAGGGCGTACAAGACATAATGCTCTGAGAAGAGGCAGCTGCTGTAAACGACTGATCAGACCCACTCTACATATATTCACAGGGCATTGACAGAGGGCTCTCGATTCCCTGAGAGATACGCTGCCGGCAGGAAGCAGCAGAAATCGTTGATAAAACATGCAGGTGATTGAAAGCTGGTGTGTGGTGTTTTCTGTGTGTGGCCACCGAAGTGCAGTGTCTCCCTCTCCCCCGCAGCCGTGCACGCACCGCCACAAAGACACATCGCCTTTTTGATGCATGTGAGCCACTGTAGCTGCAATACCTACTCTGAACATTGTGGCGCTAAGGAGTCAAATGTTTTACACACTGGGGCTTTAACACTAAGCACATTTACAGAAGAAGAACATCCAGTCAATGTATATGACTTAGCAAAAACAACCTTTCCGCCATTTTTTACCCATGCAATCGACCTAAACAATAAACGTGACATGAGCTAGCATTTGTCTCACTTTCAGCTAATTCTCATTAAATCAGCAGCAGAGAGACGTGTTCACTAGATTTTTGCACGAGTAAAATGAGACAATTATGGGTATCCCATTGTTTTAAATCATCTAATCGGAATTTAGAAAGTGACGCTTTCCTGTGATAATTAAATAAACTCTTCACCAAATTTACAGAAACTTATTTGGTGAAATATGTTGTCATCAGTGTGTGAAATGGCTGAAATCAGCATACCGGCATGAGGATTTGCTCTTTCTCACAGCTGTAGTTAAGAGAAGACTGTAAAAACACGTTTTAACTGTTGATGAACGTTTATTTTTGCAGAAACTTTATTCAGAGGAAAGTTACCTAAGACTTTCTTCTGTTTGCAAGTTTCCAAATGTAGGTCTTGCGCTTGATTTGGTAGGTGAAATATGAACATCTACACTAGCAAAAGTAAATAAATTAGTTATTGCTTTGGCAAGAAAACGAGAAGGAAATGATAACAAAGAGCAAAGAATTAAGGGTTGGCTGATGACAATGTAATGTAATACTCTGAATTTACAGCTGAAATTGAAAAGTAAAACTCTAGTAGTCAGTGGAAGTGTTTCTTTGCAAGAGCAACTTTCCTGCTTCATTCATCCTTGTTTTGATTTGCAGAAGCTCCATTTGCCTGCAGCCTCTACGTTGCACGAGCCCACAACACCAGGAGATTCATTCATTTATTTATTTGATTACTGCCCAGCAAGCCAGCGCTTCCTATTGATCGGTGGCTATTGTGTCCAAGCAGCAACTGTTAGTCTCTTAGGCATAAAAAGGCTTGAAGGACAGCTTTTTGCAGATACAGGTCCTTCCCCAAAAATTAGCATATTGTGATAAAGTTCATTATTGTCGATAATGTACTGATAAACATTAGACTTTCATATATATTAGATTCATTACACACAATCGAAGTAGTTCAAGCCTTTTATTGTTTTTAATATTGATGATTTTGGCATACAGCTCATGAAAACCCAAAATTCCTATCTCAAAAAATTAGCATATTATGAAAAGGTTCTCTAAACGAGCTATTAACCTAATCATCTGAATCGACTAATTCACTCTAAACACCTGCAAAAGATTCCTGAGGCTTTTAAAAACTCCCAGCCTGGTTCATTACTCAAAACCGCAATCATGGGTAAGACTGCTGACCTGACTGCTGTCCAGAAGGCCATCATTGACACCCTCAAGCAAGAGGGTAAGACACAGAAAGAAATTTCTGAACGAATAGGCTGTTCCCAGAGTGCTGTATCAAGGCACCTCAGTGGGAAGTCTGTGGGAAGGAAAAAGTGTGGCAGAAAACGCTGCACAACGAGAAGAGGTGACAGGACCCTGAGGAAGATTGTGGAGAAGGACCGATTCCAGACCTTGGGGGACCTGCGGAAGCAGTGGACTGAGTCTGGAGTAGAAGCATCCAGAGCCACCGTGTACAGGTGTGTGCAGGAAATGGGCCACAGGTGCCGTATTCCCCAGGTCAAGCCACTTTTGAACCAGAAACAGCGGCAGAAGCGCCTGACCTGGACTACAGAGAAGCACCACAGGACTGTTGCTCAGTGGTCCAAAGTACTTTTTTCGGATGAAAGCAAATTTTGCAGGTCATTCAGAAATCAAGGTGCCAGAGTCTGGAGGATGACTTGGCAGAGGGAAATGCCAAAATGCCTGAAGTCCAGTGTCAGGTACCCACAGTCAGTGATGGTCTGGGGTGTCATGTCAGCTGCTGGTGTTGGTCCACTGTGTTTTATCAATGGCAGGGTCAATTCAGCTAGCTGTCAGGAGATTTTGGAGCACTTCATGCTTCCATCTGCTGAAAACCTTTATGGAGATGAAGATTTCATCTTTCAGCACGGCCTGGCACCTGCTCACAGTGCCAAAACCACTGGTAAATGGTTTACTGACCATGGTATTACTGTGCTCAATTGGCCTGCCGACTCTCCTGACCTGAACCCCCGTAGAGAATCTGTGGGATATTGTGAAGAGAAAGTTGAGATGCAAGACCCAACACTCTGGATGAGCTTAAGGCCGCTATCGAAGCATCCTGGGCCTCGATAACACCTCAGCAGTGCCACAGGCTGAATGCCTCCATGCCACGCCGCATTGAAGCAGTCATTTCTGCAAAAGGATTCTCGACCAAGTATTGAGTGCATAACTGAACATATGTATTTGAAGGTTGACTTTTTTTGTATTAAAAACTCTTTTCTTATATTGGTCGGATGAAATATGCTAATTATTTTAGATAGGAATTTTGGGTTTTCATGAGCTGTATGCCACAATCATCAATATTAGAAACAATAAAAGACTTGAACTACTTCGGTTGTGTGTAATGAATCTAATATATATGAAAGTCTAATGTTTATCAGTACATTACAGACAATAATGAACTTTATCACATTATGCTATTTTTTGAGAAGGACCTGTAGTTACTCTCTTTCACGTTTCCGGCTCCTTTTACGCTCATCTTCCTATCACACACACCTTACCTCCCTTCATCAATGCTTCCTGGCTATTACTCAGTGCTGACATTTTCCCCTTTCTTTTATCGTGTTGATCTTCGGATGCAAATGGCAACCTTGGCCAGTTTAATCTCAGTAGCGGGAGTGTGCCGGAGCATCCTTGTGTCCATCTTGCATGAATGCCTCAAGTGAAGATGAAAGAGATGGCCACCCTCTGTTCTGCCTAAGCCAGCCTTTCATTGAGTGACCTCGCCTTTATCACATCTGATCTTGTGCGCGCGCGTGCGCACACACACACACACACACACACACACACACACACACACACACACACACACACGTACCTTTGACATTTGAATCGATACCGGTACTTAACGGTACCAATTTTCGATACTTTTGAGTGTTTATTATTTTAATTCTCATTTATAATTAAATATATATTTTTCTCAATATATAACCATATTTGATAAATATCACGATAAATAACATACAACTGTTTGTATTTTAACATCGTCCTT